GCTCAGGTACATACTGTGTAGGGCAGAGGCAGGACAAGAATGAAGTTGGCTGCCCAGGCAAGGCCATGATAAAATCCCGACTCTGGCCCTCCACTAGTTCCTCTGTGCTGCCCCTAGGGCCCCAGCCTTCTACTGTTGCGTAAACACACCAAGTTTGTGCCTCTCGGTAAGCAGACACTTCCCTGGTCTGAAATACTCTCCTTTCAGTCACGTGTCCATATCACTCCTTCACCATCCAGTCTCTGAATTCACAAGTGGATGGTGGTACCAAAAAAAAACAAAAAAACAAAAAACAAAAAACAAAACAAAACCCAGTCCACAGGAAAGAACTAGACTAATGCTTTTTCTAGACTCTTCCCCGTCCCATAATAATCAAGGGAGAATGAGGAGGCTTTAGGGTGGAGGTGGGGCTAACAACTAAAATACCAACATTGAAGGGCTAAGCAGAAGAAACTGCACCGTGGGTGAAGACAGGATGGTCAGAGGGCAAGGGAGAGGGAGGGAAAGCTTCAGAAAGTTGCGTTTTAACCGACAGCAAAGTCAGGCAAAGAAGATTGAAGAGGAGCACGTGGCATGTTGCCAGAGCCATTCGTAAAAGGGCTGTTTCCGAGGAACGTTGACAGCAAATGCCAGCCTGCACGACATTGGGGGTAAAGATGAAGGAGAAGAACTCGAGGAGCAAGCGTAGACCATGTTTATGTTACCTTTCTCACGGTGGCAAGCGCACAGGAAGCAAGCATTTGCTTGGGCTCACGGTTTGAGATGTAGTCCATCGTGGTGAGGAAATACAGCAGCCAGCTGCTTGCTCACATCTGGGCAAATCAAGAAGCAGAGAGCATGGTGGAAGTGGGCCAGCTATAAAACCTCGAAGCACCCTGCCCTGCTACACGCCGCCTTGTCCCGGCCCACCCCGCCCCATGGGCCATTTTCTCCAGGGAAGCTCTACCAACTCAAAGCTGCCAAACATCCCCAAACTACACTACCAGCTATGACTGAGTGTTTAGTCATGAGCCTATGGGACACACTTTATCCAAGCCACCCTATTCTCCAGACTCTTCGCTAGCAAGAAGAGAAAAGGGAGGCTGAGGAGCATAGAACTGAAGGAGAAACTGAAGCATGAGTATGAGCCCGTAGAAAGATCCACCAGGAAGAAGGGGATGAAGGCAGAAGCGGATGGGGCTGGGCTTCAGATTGGAGGTCTCAGGAGAAATCAAGGAGGTAGAGGGATAGTGACTGATGAAGGCAGATGTAATGGTGAAAGGCAAGTCCGCCAGAACCTGTTTCCCTGTCTACATGTTCACTGGGTATCTATTGGATGAACCAAGTAGCGTCAGACCCAGCATTCCTGCTCTCCCAATAGGCCATCTCCTTCCCTGGCCTTCCTGATCTCCTGATAGGTCATCTTCCTGATAGGTCACATTCCTTCCCTGGCCTTCCTGATCTCCTGATAGGTCATCTTCTCTTCTTGGCTTTCTGACTTCAGTACACAAAGCTTCAGTCAACAAAGCCTGGCATGGCTTTACAATTAACCTGGAAGATCAAATTAGCTATTCTAAAAGAGGAAGTCAAGAATCATCCAGAAGGGGCTGGAGAGATGGCTCAGAGGTTAAGAGCATTGCCTGCTCTTCCAAAGTCCTGAGTTCAATTCCCAGCAACCACATGGTGGCTCACAACCATCTGTAATGAGGTCTGGTGCCCTCTTCAGGCCTGCAGGCATACACACAGACAGAATATTGTATACATAATAAATAAATAAATAAATATTTAAAAAACATTTAAAAAAGAAGACATTTAATAATAATAATAATAAAAAGAATCATCCAGAAACTAATGTGGTGAGAGTGATATGGTCTATGCAGTAAGGTGTTGGCAATGGGAATGGAAAGAAACTGATGCCAGCCTGGATCTGGAACATGAGAAAGGAGGCCAAGAGGACAATGAGATTTCAGGCTGGGAGGATGAGCATCCTGTCGGAGAATGGCGTGTGACAATTTGGAGGGCAGAATGTAATGAAGAGAGAAGCCCAGAGTAGAGAAGCCCAGAAACATTCAAAGTGGGGACTAAGGGATGGGAACATACTTTGGAGCAGACACTTAAGTTCCAATAGACACTAAAGACAAACACTTGGGGGAGAGATCGGTCAGCACTGGAATTATAGGTCTGGGACTCAACTCTTTAAGAGGAGATACGGATGGGAAAGCTACAGAACAAAGCGGAGGGGTGGGGGTTAACAGCAGAGACTATGGAAGCAGTTCCACCACACAGCACGGCAAACACTAAAATGATCGAGTACTGAGAAATGTCCGACAATATCGTCCCTCATGATCTGCACACAAGGAGAAAGAAGAAATTGATGATGAGAAGACTGACCCAAGGTTGCACTTGAAGAAACGCACCTAAGTTAACTAGCTGAGGGGTCCTGGACCGAAGGACGACGAGTTTTCCTGCAGGACTCGGTCATGGCCCTCGGTAGAAAGAACATGAAAAGGGCTGCCTGAGTGTGTCAGTGAAATAAGGAGAGGCAGAAGAGGGCAGGATCAAAACGGCAACCAGTGTCCTGAGAGAGGCAGAGCAGAGGCATAGACTTTTGGTAGACTGTGAAGATGTTCTCCAGATGGCCCCATTTTCTCCCTCCCCGGGAGGCAGGTAGGTGCTCCGTGTGAGGGATTTGATGTGTAAGAAGTTGAGAAGGGTAGAGGTGACTGCAGCAGAATCTTAGACATGACATCATGTGTCTCCGTCCCAGATGTTAGCACAGGTGGACCTAAATTAGACCTCTTCCAGGCTGTTCTCTCAGAAGCTGTTAGAAGATTAAATGAGACAACGCATATAAATTATAAAGCAGTTATCAAAGAAGAGAAGTTAGAATGCCCACTATGGGAAATGTGATATGGCATGAATAAGAGATGAAACCAAGCATAGCCAAGCATCAAGGAGGGCAAAGGTCAGAGCAAGAGAACACAGCAAAGCCAAGTCCACAAGAGTTCTTGTCATTTGCTTCAGGATATTGGAGAGGAGCAAGAAGATTCGGCCAGGGCAGTGCAGAGGACGGAAGGCTGGCAAGTCTAGGTAAGGGCCATTTTCATTTCTAGGACCTACGTAGGCATCTTACTTTGGGGGGTCATGTGACTTTTATATAAAAGTGGCTTTTGATAGCCAGGCATTGGTGGTGCCTGCCTTTAATCTCAGCACTTGGGAGGCAGAGGTGTGCTGATCTATGTGAGTTCAAGGCCAGACTGGTCTACAAGAGCTAGTTCCAGGACACGCTCAGAGAAACCCTGTCTCGAAAAAAAACAATAAAGGAAGAAAGTGGCTTTTGAGTCATTTACAGATATATTTTACTTACTGTAAAGTTAGAGCCAGATCTCAAGATTCTCACGATAAAGACAAAACCAGACTATTTTTGGTTGTGTGTCTGTGTGTGTGTGTCTGTGTTCACATACATGTGCTAGAGAGAGAATCCAGAGCCTCATACATATTGATCAAACACTCTTATCAGTGAGCTACAGCTCCAACCCAACATATTTTAGAAATAGCCGGATGATCCTTCTTTTTTTAAAATTTAATGTTTCCACAGTTTGGGGCCCTTTCTAGAGTCCATAATTCATAAAAGAATAAATTCTAACGGCAGGAATACAGTATTTATCTCTAATAAAGAGGTCCCTGAAACCAAAGGAAGGTTGTAAACGAGGAAAGCACCGAGACAGAGGCTTATGCTACTGGAGAATGAGAAGAGTAGCAGCTAACGAGTCCTGTCGTACCATTTTTGGAATTCAGAGGTCAAGGTCTCAACGCCCACGAGTAGGAAGCAGCTACCACAAGAATGAATCTGAAACTCCAGGCAAGATTCTTCAAGGAGACAAAGAACTAATAATGGTCAGGTACCAGGTGTATCCATCTTCCTAACTACAAAGTTGTCGGGCCTACAAAGGCCTTGTCCCTCACTGACATGCTCCACTGTCCCATTGTGACCAGTCAGGAGCCCCTTTGATTGTAAAAACAGCTGCCAAACTTGCTCTGCTTGTCATCGTCCCACACCCTCTTCCATTACTATGGAATTCTGATTGAGAAGTATTTAAACTCTTAGGACATGCTCCCTCCCGCCTTGGGCCGGTGAATTAAAAGCGGCTAGCACCCCAGAAACTCAGTTGAGCTCCAAGGGGCAACTGTTCTATAAACGTTTCGTTCAGTTTTTTGGACCAGAGCCGGAGGTTCCCTTGCCATGGAAAATGCCAGAAGCTAGCCAGCTGCGGGGGTTCTGGTACAGAGCAGGCTAGACCTGAGGGATCCCAGGACAGAAAAAAAAAAAAAAAATGCTCAGAAGACGGCGAAAGAGACCTAGCAGGGTCTTCCCTGCTTCGCGGAAGCCTCTGTAGCCAAGGAGAGGCCGCCTACAAGTTCCAGCATGCTTCGGGCTACACCTCGGCGGACTGACAGTACCGTGCACCAATGGGAGAACCCTATCTGAGTTTGGGGCGGATCCCGTTCTGCGGCACTCAGCGAGGCTTTTTCAAAGGTCCTGAGGCCGCTCTGGTGGCCAGAACTCATCTTCGTGACATGGTGACGCCGACCACACTACGCCGCTCACTCCCAGGCTCCTCATCCCGGCCCTTCCTGCTGCCATCTCTTGGTCCTTCTCGTGCCGCCGCCCGAGTGACCAGGCGAGAATGTGGAACCTGCTGAGCTTATTGGATGGCAGTGATGTCACTCTGGAGGGCCGCGTGGGTCCGAGTGGCGAAGCCCGCCCCTCTTGGACGGTGATTGGACTCTTCGGAGCCTACATGGGCTGGGATTGGTGCGAGGCGGGGCGACGGCTCTAGGGCCTTCTGGGCAGCCTAGGGAGGCGGCAGCGCCGGCGCCGCACCCTGGGAGAGCCGGAGGACCCTCTACCTCATCGCCCGGGGCGAGGGCGCTTGTCGCGTGGTGGGGGTGGGATCAGTGGGGCGGGAGGGGGGGGTGGCCGTGGAGGACACGAAATGCAGGGGTCTGGGTGGGGTTGCAGGACTAGCTGGGGGACTAGATCTAGAAGCGCTTGCGAGGGGGGACGTCCTGGGTGATTGAGGAGGGCGTGGACGTGTCTGGTGTGGGATGCAGTGGAAAGGAAGGGCCCAGCCACAAATCCGGAGTAGCTCTGTGGATGGTTCCTCAGAGGCACGCTCTTCACGGTTGCCCTTTTATTTGGCAACACGAGAGCCCACATGCTCTCTGTTCAAATTCTGGGAACTCTGTCTCTGGGTGAATTTACCCTGCACTGTAGGACTCCCCAGGGCCTTTTCTGATACTGGGTACAGACGTGGGAAAGATGTCAGAAAACAGGAAGCCGCTTCTGGGTTTCGTGCACAAACTCCCCAATGCGAACGCACCTGGGAACTCAGGCAAGACTCACTGCCCTTCCTGTCTGGAGCTTTTCAAAGCCCCCAGGCTCTTGCCTTGCTTGCACACAGTATGCACCACGTGTTTGGAAAAGCTGGAACCGTTCTCAGTAGTGGACATACGTGGGGGTGACTCAGACACCAGCTCCGAGGGGTCCCTCTTCCAGGAACCCAAGCCACGCAGCTTGCAGCCGCAGGTTGGCATCCTCTGTCCGGTATGTGATGCTCAGGTGGACCTGCCCTTGGGTGGAGTGAAGGCTTTAACGATAGACCACCTGGCCATGAATGACGTGATGCTGGAGAGTCTGCGCGGGGAAGGCCAGGGCCTGGTGTGTGACTTGTGCAGCGACCGAGAAGTAGAGAAGAGGTGTCAGACCTGCAAGGCCAATCTCTGCCACTTCTGCTGCCAGGCTCATAGGTAAAGAGGGAACACCCCACCTGTTGTGGCTTAAGAGTGGGGTGCAAAGGTATCGAGGCACAAATCCCGTGGTGGGCAGGTCAAAAGGAAGGCTTTCTCAGACACTGTCAAACGGCAAAAACGACACACCGTGCAATCACAAGCTCTAGCGTGCAAGTTAGTTAGTACAGCCTCACAGGTTTCAGTTTACAGAGCACACTGGGGTTCCAGCACCAGCTGCTCCTCTGTTGAATACGCAATGGGTGCTGGAGAGGCAGGATTACCGTGCTGGCATGGACCTTGCCCTCCGTCTCATCTGATCATTGTAAGATCTCTTTTACAGAAGGACAGCCACTTATTTCACCCCCTATTTATTAAAACAGAAACTCAGCATTATTTTGTGCTTTGCCAAATTCCCATAGCTGGTAAGAGTGTAAGTGAACTGAGTCCTCAATTCAGACCTGGCTCTTCTGTTCTCTTTTTCCTAAATGCATGCCACCTTCTTGCCATAGGTATTGACCAGCTGTGCCTTAGCTCATACCTCTGTACCAGGAGAGCAGGCTGGTAGATGCTAATTGGGGTATTTTGTCGTTTATCACACGCAATGAATTTTGTTAGATCATTTACTCTCTGTCCCCTTTTCTCCATCCCACTCTAGTGCATCAGAATAGAAATACAAAACAAAAACCCCTAAACAGGGTTTTCAAATTAACCTAGCGCAGTTTTGTTTTCCGGCCTTACCAACACAACAGCTGTCTTTGCTCCCTATTTTGAACTTGTGCGATCATCCCCACAACTGTCACGTTGCCAGCTCAGCAGCTGACACATCTCTGCAGCCACACTTGGACCAGAATAGGCATGGACGCTTGAAGTTGACGGGAATGTCACCAAGGAACTCGACAAGCAGTCAGTGCGTGGTCCTAGGGATTTCCCTGCGTCCCCTAGGAGGCTATAGAAAAGAGGAATTAAAGAGCGCTTGGATTTTAGTGCCCATTGATTTCACTTTCTCCTAATGCTCATGACTCTGGAGGGAACGCCTGGCCTGCCAGTGTATGTGATGTAGGCGCTGGCCAATGGAAGTGCTTTACTGAAATGTTACTTAAACATAAGGCACGGCCTTGTCAGAGCCAGCCGCCTGCTTTCTTTGCAACTTAGATCCATCTGGCATGGTTGTCACTTGGTACTAGCCTTCCACTGTGCTTTAGGAAGTGGGCTGTGGCTCTTCAGACTTAGCACAAATTAACTTTTTTTCTTACTTTTTAAAATATTTGTTTGTTTATTTATTTATTATGTATACAATATTCTGTCTGTGTGTATGTCTGCAGGCCAGAAGAGGGCACCAGACCTCATTACAGATGGTTGTGAGCCACCATGTGGTTGCTGGGAATTGAACTCAGGACCTTTGGAAGAGCAGGCAATGCTCTTAACCTCTGAGCCATCTCTCCAGATGAAACTCGTGAGAGTTTCTCAGAACGTGGTCTCAGCATTGTACCTTTTGAATATTTATCCCAAGCTAAGTCCAAGTATGCATGTCTTGTGTTCTAAACGACAGCCCGCAGATAGGCACGGGGCTCAGGATGAAAAAATAATGAAGCAAAGAGGATCCTATAGTTTGATATTAGACGTTCTAAGGGATATGACTCAAATCTGTTTAACTCCTAGAACCTCTTTGCCACACTGTCTCCCTCTAGAGTGATTCCCTCATGTCCTGCTTCTTCCCAGGCGGCAGAAGAAGACGATGTATCATACCGTGGTGGACCTGAAAGACCTGAAAGGCTACAGTCGGGTTGGAAAGCCCATCCTGTGTCCTGCTCACCCTGCGGAGGAGCTGAGGCTGTTCTGTGAACTCTGTGACCAGCCGGTGTGTCGGGACTGTGTGGTTGGGGAGCACCGGGAGCACCCCTACGACTTCACCAGCAACGTCATCCACAAGCATGGAGATTCTGTGCGGGAGCTCCTGAGAGGCACCCAGCCCCATGTGGAGGCCCTGGAGGAAGCCCTGGCTCAGATTGAAAGCATGAACAGTGGCCTCCAGGAGCGAGTGGATGCTGTGGCAGGCGACGTCCGGACATTCTCCGAGGGCTACATCAAAGCCATCGAGGAACACCGGGACAGACTGCTCAAGCAGCTGGATGACATACGGGTCCAGAAGGAAAACTCTTTGCAGTTGCAGAAGGCCCAGCTGGAACAGCTGCTGGCTGATATGCGGACCGGGGTGGAGTTCACCGAGCACCTGCTGACCAGCGGCTCAGACCTAGAAATCCTCATCACCAAGGGGGTGGTGGTCGAACGGCTCCGAAAGCTGAACAAAGTGGAGTACAGCGCCCGCCCGGGAGTGAACGATAAGATCTGCTTCTCTCCTCAGGAGAAGGCCGGCCAGTGCCGGGGCTATGAAGTCTACGGGGCCATTAACACCAAAGAAGTTGATCCAGCTAAATGTGTCCTTCAGGGAGAAGGTAGGGACGTGTTGCCCACTGACTTTGAGAGGACAGTGCCCAGGGATATGATCCTTAGAGGCTGGTGAACTGTGGCTTGCTGTCTGGGGGTGTAGCTCAGTTGGCAGAATGCTTGCCTACCTGGCACACAGCCTGGGTTTGATCACCAGCACCGCATAAAACTGTGACTACATGTCCCTCTAATCCCAGCTCTCGGCAGGTGGAGGCAGGAGCATCAGAAGGTTGAGGACATCTTTGGATGCATAGCCAGTTTGTAGCCTGCCTGGGCTATACGAAACTATGTGTCATAAAGGAAAAAGAATGAGGCTTGTTGTTCTAGGAGCACTCTGTTTCTGACCAGTGACCAAGGGGAGAAGCACACTCATTTGAAAGGCAGCAGTTCCCAGCCTTGCTCTTCCCCCTGGCTTGGTCTGGGTGGGCTGCGGTTAGTACTGGGGTGAGGTTTGAGCCTGTTTCATTCCAGAAAAGCAGAAGCTCCCGAGAACCGTAAGGACCATGCTTTGGGGTGGTAGAGCCTGACCACACCCACAGGAGATAACAGATCTGACCAGGCCAAGGCAAAATCTGCCTGGGCAGAGACACACATGGTGGCTCCTGGTGCCTGGGTGCAATGCTGAGGGTCACAGAGCAACGAGGAAAATAAAATCACGCCTTCTTTTCTTCCTTACCAATTTAGATCACACAAACTTTTTATCATTGGTATGTCAAAGAATTTGATAGGTTGAGGCCTTTTGTTTTGTTTGTTTGAGACAGGGTATTACTGGGTAGCTCTGACTAATAGGCTGTTTCACAGAAATCTACCTGTCTCTGAGTGCTGGGTTTAGAGGGTGCATCACTAGGCCCAGCTAGAAATGGTTCCTTTCTACCAGTGTTCTGATCCTAAGAGAAGTGTGTTATTTAGACATATTCCACAGATCAATCCTGATGGGAAATTTGTATTCAAGAGTTGCCTTTACTTTAGCAAGTAATTTCTAGCTCTTTAGAAGTCACAGATCCCTCTGAGAATGGCCTTTCCCAGAAGGACCCACTAAGAAGGGCACACATACAAGTTCACGAGTTTCCTAGACCCTCCATTGGCCCCTCCGCAATGCCCTGTAATTCATAACCTGGGACTGAGAAACCTGGTTTCCTCTGCATGCTGGCCTTCAGACCGTAGCCAGTGGGTGGCCCCCGATGCCTTGGCAGTAGTTTCTGAGTTGCAAGGGCTTACACAGCGGGGAAGCAGCAAGCTAGACTGCAGCATCCTCTTCCTCTTCTAGTAGGACCTGGGGCTTGCAGAAGGTAGTTTTGAGGATACCGGTCTACAGGTCTAAAGGCTTTCTTTGGATTCCTAGATTAATCCTAGATATTCACAGTTTCCTTAGGGATAGGGTTAAGATGAAGACTCCCGTGTGACTCAAGAGCAGCTGCACAAAGCACGTACCCAGGCCTCCAGGAGGATGCCCATCAGTATGGCCTAGAAGGCCGGAGGGAACAGGCTAGTTACTAGGAAGCACAAGCTTTGTTGTCTGACTGGGGGCAGTGGCGCCTCCGTTTGCCTGAGCTGTGAGCACTGCTTGTCTTTTGCAGATCTCCACAGAGCTCGAGAGAAGCAGACGGCATCTTTTACCCTGCTTTGTAAGGATGCCACGGGAGAGAGCATGGGCCGGGGAGGAGACAATGTCCAGGTCGCGGTCGTCCCCAAAGATAAGAAAGACAGGTGTGTGTTAAACTTACCATGTGTAGTAGGCAGTGAGGAAAAAAGCAGGGCCTTTGAGTTACTGTAGATGTAACTGGACCCCTTCATCATATGATTCCGTAATGTCATGAGAAAATGATTAGCCGAATGTGTCCCCTTTGTAGGTTTTATGGCTTAGCTCAGTTTTCTCTCTCAACATAGCTGCCCACTGCCCCCAGACTGTCCTCATTCCAAACTTTGAAATGGACAAAAATTTTTTTTGATGTGTAACAGAATTGTACCTTTTTTAAAAAAAGATTTATTTATTATGTATACAGTATTCTTAGTATTCTGCATATATGCCTGCAGGCCAGAAGAGGGCACCAAATCTTATTACAGATGGTTGTGAGCCACCATGTGGTTGCTGGGAATTGAACTCAGGACCTCTGGAAGAGCAGCCAGTGCTCTTAACCACTGAGACCCTGTACCCTTTCTTAAACCTAGTATTTTCACATTAAATTGACCTAGGATTGTGTTTATATTTTTCCCCCTGTAATTGATGTAAGGAGAAGGGCCACAAGGCAGGGAGTACAACAGAGACCCGCAAAAACAAGACAGGAGCACTCTGTAGGTTCTCAGGATGTCGGGCCAGGGTGGAACTGACGCTGCTTACCTGCACCTTGAGGGACATTTACAGTTTATATTCGGTGTAGGAAATGTAATGCCACAGAAGTCCAGCTTCAGGTGGGGACATCTGGAGCAGCCTCATGAGAGGGGACGGCCCTTTGAACTCTTATTTCCTTCAGCCCCGTCAGAACGGTGGTCCAGGACAACAAGGATGGATCATACAATGTTTCCTTCACTCCCAAGGAACCTGGAGTCTATACCGTGTGGGTCTGCATCAGAGAGCAGCACGTGCAGGTGAGGAAGGCCCCACGCTGGCTGTCAGCCCAGGAGCTCTCATAGGTCTCTCACAGGACCAGCTGCGTCGGGGATGACATAAACTGTCCCTTGCTCGACTCTGTAGTCGAGGGTGCTCATAGCCCATCCCCCACCCGCTGTTTCACCCGCTGGCAGTACTCTGCACTTCATTCTCCTGGTTAGTCTGTGGGGAGTCTTATTCCAGAGAAGATGTCTTGACCACAGGGGAATCCCTTAGCAGACACACACACACACACACACACACACACACACACACACACACTCAATAGTTTTCAACCTTTCCACACTGTGAGTGGGCCACAGTAGGCAGGGTTATGTCTCCTCCTGTTGTCTGCCCAGTCATTATCTGCCTAACCATCAGTGCACAAAACGTGTGCCGTACCGTGACTCCAATCCCCCCACAAGTAGGTATAACACTTCCTGGTTTAGGAAGTTTTCAAATCTCTGCTGATATTGGAGCAATTGTTCCCTCAGCCAGAAAGCAGTGGTGATGGCCATCGGCATTACTGTGGCCACGTTAACCATGTGACCTGTGCAGTAGGATGACATTCAGTGCCAGTACTGCTGATCTAATCATGTCGGGAACGGGCTGGATGTTTTTGTGTACTTCACTTCAATTTTCTCCAAAGCCTACTCAGACAGACCAGTCTTGCCCTGATAGTCAGTAGTTCTGTATCCAAAATGGGAATTTGAGCCTATTCCTTAAACTCCGGCTTGTTTTGTTTCATTTTGTTGTTGTAGAGATGGGGGACAGAATATTGTTTAATCTGTAGGCTGGTCTACAATTCACTGTCTAGCCAGGCTGGCCTTGAACCCTTGACCCTCTCACTCTCACTTCAGGAATTACAGGATGTGCCAGTCATATTTGCCACCAGGTTCATTTTTAGAAAAATCATGTTTTCTAGCCTCCCATTACTGTGACAAAATACCAGAGCTATAAACTTAGCAAAAAGAAAGGTTTATTTTGGCTCATAATTTCATAGGTTCAGGCTATGGATCTTCCCTCAGAAGAGGGCGACTTTGACATTGGGAAGTCTCCTAGGATACCAGGCTTCCACAGATGATGTGGCTCTTACATGGGTACAGGAAAATTACAACACTTAATAAGCATTTATGTTTAACATAAGAGAGAAATTAAAATTCAAGTTATCCTTGAAGAAAAAGCGGATAGTTCCTAACTTGAGACTCATTAGTCACACATCCTAAACCTTTCTGTCTTCCATGTACCCTAACAGTCCACCAATACAAGGCTGGACAGACAGATTTGTGGTGTCCAGGGTCTAGAGGTGGGAAGGAAGGGGCTAGCGCTGGGAGACACGTAGCTGAGAAGCTGCAGAAAGCGCTGCGCATGTCCTAGCTTGTGGCTGTGGCAGCCTAGTAACTACCCACGAGACGCCTCAAGACTGCAGTCAGTCACACAAAAACCTGAGTCAGGACGGCTGTGTGTGTGTGTGTGGGGGGGGGGGTTCCACTCCCACTTCTCTCGGGGCTCGAGGGAGGCAGAACCCATCCAGCTTGAGCCAGACCCGAGCTAATTAAGATGTCACTGGAAATGAGGCTATGGAACTGTCTTCAGTGCCCAGAGGCTTAGGAGATGCAGTCAGTGCCCTGGTGTAATGTCGTGACTCTGCTGCATGGCAGAAGGCAACACACATCTGAGTCAAGTCTCACTGCACTTGGATTGTCCCATCCAGCCGAGAAGTCCCTCGCCAGATACCTTTCTGTCCTGCATCCTTGTCCCTCCTGTGACTCAGAGCCTGCTTGTCATGCACCGATTGGCGTTCAGCGCACCCCGCTGATACCTGAGGTGCCATTCTCTGCTCTTGGCCTGCACCCTTCAGGGCTCACCCTTCACCATGACTGTGAGGAGAAAGCACCGCCCGCATCAAGGGGTGTTTCACTGCTGCACCTTCTGCTCCAGTGGAGGCCAGAAAACTGCACGCTGCGCCTGCGGAGGTACCATGCCAGGTAAGCCCGCTTGCCTGTGCAGCTGCAAGGGTCCTTCCCTTCTCTGCCTCACAGCTACTGGGCAGGGTGTTCTAGAAGTCCAGCCTCACGTGCGGAGGCAGGACAAGGAGCTTGCACAGTAAGCTGCTTGCTCTGAATTGAAATGACAGGGTTCAAAGTTCTGCCATCTTTCTGGATACAATTCACAGTACACAAGCCTTGTGACCAATCCACAGACCTCTCGCTTCTCTGTGGGATTCTCCAATTCAGTTTGCACCTGTTCTAGCAGTCTGAGCACTGTGGAATGCAGACCAACCCCAAATCATGAAGAAACCTTAAATGAGGAGGGTTAGGGGAAGGGATGATTGAGCAGCTTCTGACTCTCGGGGAGTCAGGATCTCCAGGCAAGAGATCCAAATATTTTTTAAAAAGTTATTTTCTAAGCCGGGCAGTGGTGGCACATGCCTTTAATCCCAGCACTTGGGAGGCAGAGGCAGGCGGATCTCTGTGAGTTCGAGGCCAGCCTGGTCTACAAGAGCTAGTGCCAGGACAGGCTCCAAAGCTACAGAGAAACCCTGTCTCGAAAAACTAAAAAAAAAAAAAGTTATTTTCTCCTGGAGCCGGGACGAGACAATCTTGTGGGTAATGGCTACTCTTCCAGAAGACCCAAGGTCAATTCCTAGTGCTCATACGGGGGCTCACAACTGTTTATTACATCTAATCCAAGTGATTTGATGCCTTCTTCTGGCTTCTGGGTACCAGGCACACATTACACAGACATTCACACAGGCAAAACACTCACATACATAAAATAATAAAGAAGTTACACCATATCTTTAACAGTGACCCACAAAATGGGCTTCTGTGCCCTCCTAGGCAATCAATCCAGGATCTGTCTTCTTTTGCACTGATCTACCCTTCATGTCACTCACTACATGTAGGTAAGACCCAAATAGCTCATTTAACAGTTCAAATGCGAGCTAGATCATCTTCAGGCTGCACATTGGACAGTTCTGAGAGCCTGGCCAGCCACGATGCCTCGATAGTTCTGGCTCCAGTGGACGAAACGGGTAGTTCCTTCGGAGAACTCGTCACTGCTTAAGTCTGAGCACTGCCAGGTTTCACCTGTGTAGCAAGAGCTGGGCTCTACTTTCAGGTGTTTCCCTCCCTTTGTATCATGCAGGTGGGTACCTCGGCTGTGGCCATGGACACAAAGGACACCCAGGTCGTCCGCACTGGTCTTGCTGTGGGAAGTTCCTGGAGAAGTCTGAGTGCACATACCCAGGTGGGCAGAGCGCACCGAGGAGTCTGCTTAGGACCGTGGCCCTCTGACAGCGTACTGGGTACAGGTTCAGCTCGGTAAACCCGAAGGCAGCATTACTCAGATGTGCGGAGGACCGAAGAGCTTGAGGAGTTCCAAAGAGACTGACAGAATTAAGGACAAAGTGCTTTCTCTAACCTAAGAGTTAAGTGGGATTTTTTGAATATGTGAGCTTCTCGTCTATTGTGTGTGGCTGAGTGTGGGCCACCACTACACTGCTCTTCAAGGCGGGCTGATGATCTGCTCCACAGGAGGCTCCTTTCTGTTTCATACAGGTATCAAAGTGGGAACATAACGATCACGGAGCAGGGAGGATGTTCTCTCCTTACCTTCCATTGTATTACAACCTCTTCGGTTTATCCCTGAGCTAGAATTTAAGTGCTTCTCGCAGAGAGTGAAAACCCTTTGTCCCTTGTTAGTATCCGTTCAGTGGTTTTTCCATGGTTTTCCATGGTTTGTGACAATTATAACATCGTTTTGTTATTTAGCTAAGAGCCTGGGTGCTAATCTGTGTAATGACTCATCTGTAGGCTACACAGGTAGACATTAATAAGGAGGGATGGTGTGGAAAGATCTCACCCATCTGTTGAGTTCTTCTTACACCAGATGCTGGAGAGTCCTCCGTCCTCACAGCTCTGACAGTGGAGAGTTTCTGCTGTGTCTCTATATCCAGCCGAAAGCACTGACTCTGCAGGTCCACCCTAGCAGCTAAGAATTCTGGGAAAAAGACTTAGCATGGCCTCAGCCCCGCCAAGGTCTTCCACGCATACACTTTGTGTGTTCTGGGAGCCTTGGCTTCTTTTACAGCAGTAAACTCAGCACATATTAAATATAATTACCGAAAGATTTCTTAGGAAGTGGTGACTCATTGGAGTGGTCACTTGAGTAATGCCAAGGAGGTGACATGTTTAGTTGACAGCTGTGAGGTCACCACACAATACATTTCCTTCTTGGAGCTGCTACACTAGTTACAGACATGAAGATACTAAGTTTCTTCCTTTAGCCCCTTTCTGTAAGCCAAATCTGATTTTCCCAGAAAACATGGCCGCCCATCACCTTCAAGGTTGTTGATTGTTGTTCACGCTTTATGTCTCTTGAGCGGAACCACCGCTACTTTGAGATACTGGTTTTGCCGCACTCCTACCTCCCTGAGGAATGCCTGGCAGAATCACGGGGATTCAGGGCCTAGTAGCATCTAGTGTGGTTACAGGTCAGACTGCTGCTTGACTTCCTTTCCCTTCTCCTCTGCTCATCCTTGCCTTTCCCTGTCCTCTGTACCCCAGGAGAGCTGAAGAGCAGTTCGTCCCTTTCCTTCCTGTTCCCAAGACCTCATTCTGTCACTTAGATACCATTCATACAGTGACTCCTCGGTGCCCCAGGTCTGCTCTCTAGATAACTGTGTCCAATGGCTCACATCACATCTCCCCTTGTGTGTACAGTAAGCATCACATTTAAATGACGCCCAGTGTCTAGCTGTCACTTCCTCCTGCCTGCCATCACCAAACTGCTTCTCCTGTAGTCCTCCCCTGCACTTCAAATACACCACTCTGTCCTTAGGTTGGGAGGCCTGGAAACATCATGTGTGCACACACATCCAAGCCACAGGAACGGCCACCAACTTTCCCTTAACGCACCCACTGCTCTCTACGTCCACTGCTGCTGTCCGGGTTTGAGATACCAAGGTTTCCCAACTAAAAGGTTTGTCATTGTCTTCTAACCACCCTGCTTCTGCCTTTCCCCCTTCTACTATGTCCCCCAGGAGAGAGCCTCTCAAAATGTCCCATCATTCCGCTCAGTACCCTCCAGTGGCCTCCCATCTTACTCAGAACAAAGCCAGCATACAATGCTTCATTCCCGTTACCATGTATGACCATCGTGGTCTGATCCATGCTCTTTCTGGTCAGCACCTGCTGTCCCCTATCCAGCCATGGTGACCCTGGTGGGTGTTCCTCAGACTCAGACAGTCTTATCTTGGAGCTCTTACAGTCACTGGTCCTGTCTGACGTGCCCTTCTCAAAGATGCAAACCTTCATGATTCACTCTGATTTCTCCAAGTTTCCGCTCTACTCTAGCGTCAGCTCCATCCTATTAGTGAGCTCGCCACCTGCCCTGTATAAAACAGCAACACCCTACCCAGGAGAAGACCTCACCCTGCACAGCTTCATCACTGTCTGCCATGTATAATATACTTCCTGGAGACTTTGAGCTCCCTGAGGGCAGGGACTTGACTTAGTAATTGTACTATTCCCATGCGGGGCAGATATTGGCTCAAAGTAGAGACAATAGTGTATTGAATGAATAACAACAAAAACCTGTAGAATTTTCCGTTTGGCTCTACTTAGTATGTTTTCATGACTTAACCATATACCACTTGGGAAAATGTCTTAACCTTCTATCAAACTTGCTGGATAAATTCTGTGCACCCAAGGGACCAGCCTTGAATTTTCCAATTACCTCAGACGTTTAGGGAGTCTTAGGCCATGAAGGCTCTCGGATTACATCATCTTTCCCAGGTGTCTCTGAGGCAGTGCAGAATGTTGCAGCAAAGCTCACGAGCCTCCCTTGGCGAGGCTGCAACAACCGGACTAACTTCTGTGGTGAAGCTGCATCACTAGAGGAAATTTTGATCCCAGGGCCCATCTAGGCCCTGGCCAATACCTAGGTCACTCAGCAGTATTGCTGGCAACAATTCTGTTAACAATATTGAAAGCTCCAGGGGTGGCAGGAGGGCGGCTCTTCCTTGGCTTGGCTTGTACACTAGGGTCTTAGCTCGATGGAATCCAACTACCCAGACAATCGAAAGATCCATGGACAGTCCGAGCGGTCTGAAGAGGCCCAAACTCCTTGGCAAGGAGAGAGGAAGTGGAGGCTCTAGGGACTGCTCTACGGTACAGTGTGCTTCAGAGCTTTGAACTATGCCGAAACATCAAGACGCAGCTCTATGATATCAGTGATGCAGCTGCTGTTAGAGCTGAGGGCAAAGGCCGTCCTCTGGGACACTGTCATCTTGGAAAATAAACACCCGTATATGTGCCAGCCCACCCATCCTCTAACCTCCCTGAAGCCACTGTTCAACAGGACACCAGGGGATGTGTCCCTGCGGCAGGAGTGGCTGGGTGAAGAGTATGGCAAATTAGATCAGAGGAAGAGGAGTCCCACTGTGTGCCAGTTCTTACATCCTGAGAAGGCATTCGTCACTTCCTCAAAGTCTCACAGGTCAGTTTCTCTGATGATCCCTTCCAGCTACAAGGTCCTCTACCACAGCTCTCGACACCAGGTGACAAGACCTTCTTGACACCTCATCTCCCCTACCGGATGCTTAGCCTCAGGGAAGTAGGCTCCTGTTTGACTTGGCTTCCTTTTACAAATGAAGTACTCAGTAAAGCCTTGCACATAGTAGGTGCTTGATATATATTTCAATTAATGTACGAGTAACTGTGCAACAGAAGCATTTCCCATCTGCCTCATTTGGACTTTCTATTACTGTGAAGAGACACCATGACCATGGCAACTCTCATAAAGCAAACATTTCATTGGGGTGGCTTACCGTTTCAGAGCTTCAGCCCATTATCATGGTGGGGCACGGTGGCATCCAGGCCGATGTGGTGCTGGAGAAGTAGCTGAGAGTCCTACAGCTTACAAACTGCAGAGAGTGATGTCCGTGTTACACTGAGCGAAGCTTGAGCGAAGGAACCTCAAAGCCCGTCCCCTCCGTGACACACTTCCTTTGATAAGGCCACACCTCCCAATAGTGCCACTCATTATGAACTTGGGGGGGGGGGGTAATTACATTCAAACTGCCTCAGCATCCTTTCTTTCTTACACATGTCCATCTATACTCCCATGATTACCCTCTTGGTGTAGGAGAATCTGGCTTCACCTTGGAGCCATTTCTCTGTACCGGATACTCAGGAGGAAATACCATTGTGTCTAAGGGGCCACAATGAAGCATTAGAGGGAGAGATGGTGGTATATGCCTATACTCCTGGCACTTGGGAAACAGAGGCAGCCTGGGTTGCAGGGTGTACAGCAAGACCCTGAATAAAGAAAACAAAAATACTACCCCACATGATCGCTAAAGAAAGGGGTCACACCCCATAAAGGTAGCATTCTGCCTATTGCTGTTCCCAATTGCATATCAAGAGGAGTCTTGGAGTTTGACAGGGCCTAGAATGTCACTCAGCTGTGGTATGTTGCATGCTCTTTTTGATCGACATTTAAGAGAAAAGTCAAACATAAACCTCCATGAAGGAAACACCTTGGAATTTGATGTTTGAGAACACTGTGCGTTGGTGACAACTGTTAAGACTGTTTGGCCAGCTACCACTGAGGAAGGGCAGGGCAGGTACTGAATCCGAGGCCATGAACGAGCGCTGCTTCCTTGCTTGCTCTCCAGGGCTTGCTGAACTTGCTTCTTCTAGAACCCAGGACCGCAAACTCAGGCGGCACCACCCACAGAAATCATTAGTCAAGAAAAGGCCCCACAGGCCAATCTGATGGAAGCGTTTTCCAAGATGGCCCTGGTTTCTATCGAGCTGGCAAACTAAGCAGCGCACAGCTTCAAGCCCTAGAAAGATACAGGAAGACAAAGAAAGCCGATCTGCAAGCACAAAGAAGTAACAGGCAATCTGAATTCTTAGGCATATAATCCATATTCAAGTGTTCTCATCAGTAAAAATGGAATTAGGGCTAATTAGAAACAATGTACCACGGAGTCCACAACTGTGAGGGACGGAACGGAAATGCAACATGCCTGCCATCGGGAGGGAACAACCATGGGACCTGCTTACTGTCTTGAATCCTTTCCACCCAGGTTCTGTGGCTGCACCCATGTTCTGTATGCTAGTGCTTCTAGCACCGTCCCGGAGCGCTGCCATGAGTTCTGTATGGCACTTCAGGATGTGGAAAGGGTTTTTACCTCCGACTGTTCACGGCCAGCTCCGAAGTGGGCCGGCACATATGAAAAGAAAACTGGAAGTGGAGGTTCCTGCACAGGCTTGGTGAGCCTGGCAGGGCTTAGCACGGCACCTCAACTTGTCACTACAATGTGAGGTGATGCCCTTGATTAGGGTGCAAAGGCACCATCTTACCAAGAAATTGGTTAGTGAGCCACTCATAGTGACTAATTAAAGAATCTAGTACTCAGATGGCTGAGGCAGGAGGGTTACAAGTTCAAGATCAGCCTGGGTTAAAAGAGTCCTTATCTAAAAAAAAATGAAACAGTAATAGCTTGATTCATATGAACTAAAATGAACATACAGACTGAGGTACAGCCCAGTGATAACAGTGCTTGCCTAGTATGCTTGAAGCCTGGACTTGACTGTCAGTGCCCAAAATATAAGCATTTAAAAAGAAGTAAAACAGGGGCTAGGAAAGTAGCCTAGCAATAGAGTTCTCAGTAGCTAGGCCCCCTAGATTCAGTCCCCCAGATCACAGAACAACAAAGTAAATGAACCTAAAGCTGAGGTGGACACCAGAAGGCCACTTACAGCATTAACTAGGATTTAAGAACACCATTGGCGAACCCCGTTCCATCAGGTGGTTCCACATTTCCTGCACCCACAGACATCACTAGCATCTCACTTTGGTAGGAATACTTACCTACCTCAGGCAATTCGGAAACTTTGCTGGCTTGCCATCAGAACAGGAAAAATGAAGGAAGTCTCTAAGATACCAGGAAAAGTCTACTTAGAGGCATTTGCCGATGGGCTTTGAATATAGCTCAGAATCTCTGTATTCTCCAAATAAAGACTCAGAAGTTTGAAGGCTAGGACTCTGTCTCAGCGGTGTTTGAAGTGGGCATTCAGTGTCCACCCCACAGGTGGACATCACTGATCTGCTTGGCAAACCAAGTGTCCCCAGGGTAGTATGTGAGCTATGCTAATTCATACACCATACAGACAAAAGGCTGTATGTCCAAGGGACCTGGAACTAACCCATGGAGATCGGTCAGCTAATGACCGCCAGATGTGGACACGCTTGCTGAGGGCCACTCCTTCTCAGGCGGCTCTATTATACTTGGATCCTGTGACTTCAAAAGGGTAATTTTACTGCCTTCATTTCATTTATTAGGAATCTCATTGTTGCCGTTACATTATGAAAACAAGGTCCACCTTACAAATGAGGGAGCAAAACATAAATTTTTAAAACCTCCTATTAACTAGCTCTGCATCCAGCTACGGAGAGAGCAGAATTCGAGCGCAGTGGAAGTTTCAGAGTTGATTTCTTCCCACCAGCGTACATCGTCGCTACCTACTTTTACAAGGGGCCACATCTCCTGCCAAACTGACTGGTGAACATAGGGCTCGGGCCTTCACCCAAGTCTGACAGAATGATCTATGGCCCGAATTAAGTTCAGAAATTGTTCTTTCTGGACATGACAGGTCACCACACACATGAACGCACAGTAGCTGTGGCTTATGCATAAGATCAAGCAAATCTGAGCATGGATGGAGGAGGGCTTTATAAATTCCCATCCCATAGCTTAAGAGCTCTCGGCAACTGATGGCTGCTAGGGGAGGGACAGTGTCAGTTTGCGTCAAGGATGCGGTCTCTCCTCCCTCCCTTCCCCCTCCCTCCCCGCTCCATCCCTCCCTTCCTCCCTCCCCCCTCCCTCCCTCCCTCCCATCTGCTGGCCGCCAGTGCTCCGGTGCATGGCTGGCCGTGTGTACACACTGTCACACTGAGTAGTCTTGGGTTTAGAAAGAGCACATCATGTTGGGAGGGAAGAGTGGCGGTGGAGGATGTGGTATGAAGATCTCAAACAATGTTTTTTTTTAAGGAAAGAAGAGAACCCTGATCTAGTGGCATCTTCCCTTCAGTTCCCATTTCCAGCAGGTTGCAGAAACAAGAGCCATTTAGAAAGTTGCACAGGCTAGCCTATTTCCTTACATTACTTCTCTTCACGCTCCCCCACTACTACTCAGTAATGTGGCTCCCACCTGCAGCAGGCAGTCTCTGGATGCTCCGAGGAAAAGATGGCTTGGGGACACAGCATTACCTCTGTGACATTGTTGAACACATTTATTAGATGATACCCATGATCATACAATGTGGTAGAATGGTATAAACCAAATAATACAATAGTAAATGCTAGCGGTAACAAAAGTTGATATCAACATTAAATAATACAAATACTACATGATAGAAATCCTGATACCAACGGGAACAAATACTAAATGATTCAGCGATGACCCTGAGTGACAGTCACACTGATGTTGATAGACTCCTAAATGAAACAATGACGCACAGGCTAAATGACAGAGGCTAGATGATACATGATAAATACTCAGCATCTGTTTATGTGC